ACAGAAGTCTGCATCTTGACTTCTCCAGACCATTCCAGCCATCCTCAGCTCAAGTCAACCATTGCATTAGCTTCATAGAGGTCCAAGGAAGCTAGCCTGATCATCACAACTTCCTGAAACAAGCTCAAATTCATTTCACGATTTCCAGTTTTGAGGTATTTTTCTTGAACTTCTATCTTCATATTTAGGCATTGTTAAGCTTTGATTTGTGAAGATAAAATGTAGACACCATTGCCACGAAGCTGTACATATCCATAATTTGCATTTATATGGTCTGAGCTTAGAGAATTTTAGAGTTGAAGTTTTCTGAAATTTTTAGGTTTTAAATTAGGGCCAAGAAGATTCTCATTCATCTTTGATTGTTAGCTTAAGTTATTTACATGGTTGGATTCATGGGAAGAAATGCCACAACTTTCATGTTTGAACTTTTCATTTTTGTTGAGAGATGAAGAAGATACAAGTCCTTTGGCTGGAGGTTGAAGATGAAGTGTAATCAGGGCGCATTTTGTATCATATATTTATTGTTTTGCTTATATTAACGGATGTATAGCCACCCCAGTGGTAAAGCGCGCGCCTGTTCACCCTTAGGTCCTGGGTTCAAGTCCCAACGTGTCCTTTTGCTATTTTTCATAATTTTCTGACTTTCTTTGTTTTGTTTGGCAGCGCTTGGGCTTTCATTGGGCCTAATCTTTTTTTCTCATAATACTCCTTGGGTTAATGATTCACCCCCCCCTGACTTTTTCTTTATACTTTTTATTTTTATTTATTTTTTCTTCGTTATTATTATTATTATTAATATTTTTATTATTATTACTATTATTATTATTATTATTATTATTATTATTTTCATAAAATCATAAAAAATCCAAATTTATTTTATTTATTTTTTATACCCATGTATTTTATTTTCCATAAAACAAAAAGATAAAAAATATTTTCTTAAAGACAAATTAATTTCTTTTTTTCCTTAAATAATTAATTCTTAGACTTAGGATAAATTAATATTTTATTTTATTTTTTTAGATAAAATTAATTTAGAACCTAGGTTATTATAATTAATTTTCATTTTATTGTCATTAATTTAAAACCTTTCATAAAAAAACCTAAAAAATCATTTTCAAATTAATTTCTTTTCTTAATTAGTTTAAATTAATTTTATTTAATTTTAATTAAACATTTTCTTTAATTAGGTCAAGACAAAAACCCTTTCATAAAAACACCAAAAATTATTTCTTTTCTATTTTTATTCTTGCATTTTTATTTTTAATTTTGTACAATATTCAATATGGTTGTAATAGATAATTAAGTTTAATTTTCTTGCAATCCCCATTTGTAAATTTGTACACCCCCCCTAATGATGTAATAGTGTAGTAATTTTACTTTTCGCAATTTATCGCTTTATATAAATGCTAGTAATTAGGGTTTGTATGGAAAGACTAAAATCAACAATTAGCAAACCCTGATCAATAATAAACAAAGCATGAAAATTAATACACTCGTACACAAGCACCCCTAGGATAAAATTCATTTGGTTGCCTTATGAAAATGACCGTGTTATGCATGTGAGGTATCTTAGCAAAAACAAGCAAAAATACAAGATCACAGTCCCTCGATGACGCTATCTATGTTGCCTTTTCAAAATGATCTTAGTCCCTAAGGAAAGATGCTAGGATACCTTGCAACATTTCTAATCATGGTTATACGATGATCCACGTCTGTCCCGTTTACATCCAAAGATAAGGTTACTTACTAAATCAATGGTAAGATAACAATGTCAAAGGAAATAGGAAATAAACATGAAAGACTTTTGAGTAGGTAGATTGCTCCTAGTTACTTGCTCACTTCCAAAACAAAAACATCCTTGCTATTTTCAAAACAAACACCAACACTTTTAAAAACATCTTTAAAACTTGAAAACATTTTCAAAATGTCAACACTATGTATACATTCTTACGAACGAGAATCATTACGAAGTTTGCCTAAACAATGACGCCTTTTCAAAATACTTTCCAAAACCACACAAAGCATAATTTCAAGCAAAAGCAAATGATCTAGCAAGTAACTAAGAGCCCATGGAAAACCATGGATGAAAAGGGTACTAACACCTTCCCTTTTCATAATCTACCCCCAAAACTCAAGAAATAATCTTAAAGGTCTTTCCTATGCTTTTTCACCTTTCCTTTTGGATAAAAGAAAAGTCGGTGGTGACTCTTACTAACCACAACATTTGCGATAAAATGCAAAACACCCAAGTCATTTCTCCCACCGTATCACAGATACATTAAGCTTTTAATTTTTAATTCTATAGTTATATGTCAAAATAATTCATTCTAATTAGATGACAGTGTAAATTTATTTTACACTGACAGTGTATTCCAATTAATCTCTTAAAAAATTCTTGTATTTTAGTCTATTTTTTTAGCTTTCGTATGCTAAATGCTGGTGTAGATAATACATATTCATGAATGTGGTGATTGTTAGGGTTGATTGAAAATATACATATGTTGAATAAGTCTCACATCATTTAGTTTTGTGAAGGAAGAGAAATTCCAAAACTATATATAAGATTCAAGTTCTTCGTTTTAAGATGCACCAGTCGAAAACACATTAAGTTTGTATTTGACTTTTCTTTTCTCTTAAAACTCTTGTGTTAGAGTGTTGTGAGATATAGTTAAATATTTATTTTAGGGGAGTATGGGTGTATTGGAGTCATGAAATGGTTGATAGTAAATTATGTGTTGTAATAATATTCACATAGTATTATTCTCTGGTTGTCATTTGACAACGGTCGTGGTTTTTCTCCAGTTTTGAATTTTTCACGTTAAAATCTTGTGTTGTTATTTTGTTTCTCTTTTTTATCTATGTTTTTCCCCAACAATTGATATCAGAGCTTCTGGTTCGATCCGGGGATATAAGTTCTTAGTATGCTCTGTGGTTGCATCTTTGTCTGATCTTCCACATAAGAAAAGAAGGGCGATGTTGTGAAATAGTTGTTGAGTTGTAGTCACAAGTTTTGTTGTGTATTTTGGACTAGAGAAAATTGATGAAAAATTGTTTTTTACTTCTGAAAAGTTCAAGTCAAAGATGTGTTGACACAATCAAGATTACACAAGGTGTAAAATTATGTCGGTGGTTGAAGAGCTTCCTGCCAATAAGGAAGTTGAACCATAACATATTAAATACTTAGAGTGGTTTAGCTTCAAGTGAAATTTATTCTTTATGATAAAATATATAATTATCGGTGATGATAATGTGAAATTCTTGAAGTGGTTTATCTTCAAATGAAATGTATTCTTTATAAGAGAGTATGATCATTTTAAAAACTATGATTGTCGGTGAAGACAATGTGAAAATTCTTGGAGTGGTGTAACTTCAAGTGACTATACTCTTTATGGTGAAGTATGATTGTCGGTGAAGACAATGAAAGTTGATATATTATTTTTAATTAATGTTGAGATTGTTGAGATTTATTGAAAATATACATATTGATACTCTTTATGGTAGAGTGTGATTGTCGGTGAAGTCAATGAAAGTTAATGTATTATTGTAAATCAAGGTGTAGATCGTTGAGGTTGGTTGAAAATATACATGTTGAAAAGTCTCACGTCGCTTAGTTTTGTGAAGGAAGACGGAGTCCAAAGCTATATATAGGATTCAAATTCTTCGTTTCAAGATGTACCAGTCAAAAACACTTTAAGTTTGTATTTGACGTTTTCTTTTCTCTTATGCTTTGTGATAGAGTGTTGTGAGATGTAGTTAAATATTTATTTTAGGAGAGTGTGAGTGTATTGGAGGTCGTGGATGAATAAGAGTAAATTATGTGTTGTAACAATTTTCACATGATATTATTTTCTGATTATCATTTGACAATAACCGTGATTTTTTCTCTGATTTTAGAGTTTCTACAATAAATTTATTGTGTTTTCTCTAATTGTTCCTATTTTTTTCTCTATATTAGTTTTTTCCAACAACTATTATTAATGTCATAATTTGAAAAATATTTAACAAGTATGTTATTGACATTATTAAACTTCCTTGTGATATATGTTAATAAATGAGTTGGATTTTTGCTTCGTGATGAATTGGTGTTGAAAAACGTCTCTATCCTTGATATTTAAATTCTAATTGATCTAAATAAAAAGGAAAATGTTAAACTTTACGTTGGAATTGGAAAACAAAACCGAAGAATCTTACATATCTTCTTATTATTTGCTCTGCTCTTTACTTTACCATCCTTCATGAGTAAGTGTTCCCACTAATTAATTGTTTGAAGTGATTCTTTGCTTTCGTTGATAAATCTTTCGTACGAAATAGCTGTTCCAAAATTGAATATTATTGAATGTTTTTTTTTATGTCATTTTACGAAAATTGTTTAGATAAAATTTTAGATTAATTTTTTTAAAATTTATTCAAATTAAATTATATGTATATGTTGCAATATTTATTTATTTATTTTAAATATAATTTTATCTATTTATTTTTATTAATAATTATTCTTATTTGATATTATTTTAATATATTATATGTTATTCGTTTCGTGTAACCTGTTATTTTATAGTGTTTTTATAATAATAATAAAAAATATAATTTATAATTTAAATATTTAAAAACTAATTCAAATTAAATTATATAAAAATATATCTAAATCGCACCGTAAGCACTTTAATCTCAATTAAAAAGAAAAAAGACTGATAAACAAAAATATCTATTTAGTTTTAACTTGACATATAGACCAGAAGAGGAAAAAGAAACTATCAAACCTCTAATAAAAAAGGGGAAAATTTTAATGCATTTTATGCATTATTATTTACTACCATACCACGAAATTCCTAAAATATCTTAGATTTTAAAAATATATCTCATTAATAAAAAAACACCTAACACATCTTTAGTGAGAAGGTCAATCATCTCTTGCTAGAAATTTAATGTGTTTTCATCCCCTAAACAGGCAAAATCTACCATCACCACCTACAAAATTTGTTATTTTGTTGTTCTAAAATATGGAAAGATGGAAGAACATCCTGCTTTTCAAAGAAGAAGAAGAAGAAGAAGAAGAAGCTCCAGAAGAAATCAATGACGAAGACATCTTCCAGCGATCTCTAGCTGAAAAATTATGGATGAATAATAGCTTCAATGTTCGGGCTTTTAAGAGCACTATGATTGGGGCTTGGAAACTTAAAAATCTAATTGAAATAAAGAGTGGAGCAAGAATTTGTTCTTGTTTAAGTTTTCAACCAAACAGGATTTGGAGTTTGTGATGAGAAATGAAGCTTGGAGTTTCAATAGGGTGTTAATGGTACTGGCGAGAATCTCAGATGAATAACAACCTTCAGATCTCAACATGCACTATGACGTCTTTTGGGTGAGGGTCCATGAACTACCCCATGTGCTCAGATATGGAGCAATGGCATGAAAACTCGGAAATATCTTGGAGGCTTTTGAAGAGATGGATTTGAAGGAAGCACGTAGTAACGATCGATTCTTGCGGATCAAAGTCACAATAGATCTACAAAAAGCTTTGAAGAGAGGCAGAATGGTGAAATTCAAAGATAAGAACATTCATGTTCATTTCAAATATGAGCGATTACCCACCTTCTGTTATGTTTGCGGGAGAATAGGGCACCAGATGAAGGTTTGTGATACATTGGAGGATCTTAATGAAGAAGGCTTTAAAGATCTTGATAAGCTAGAACTTTTGTATGGTCACTAGCTTAGGGTCTCACCATTATCTATCATACCCTAAATTTTTGCCCACCATTTTTCATCTGACAGACTGTCTTTGAATTAAGTTAGTATGAGTCTCTGCATAGTGATCATTGGTCTATAAGCTATTCACTTAGGTTCTCTGACTTTGTTTAAGTCCCTCAAGACCATTTGAGGCTTAGAAGTTCTTCTGAACACGACATCACAAAAACCTTTGAGTCATTCATCTTTAAAGTCAAAAGTCAACCCTATTGACCCAAAAGTCAAATGAAGGACCATTTTGACTTTTGGTCTTTTTTATGTTTTTTTATTTATTTAGGGTCATTTAAGAATCAATGTCATCATTTTAGTATTATTAGTAGTAGTATTATTATTAATATTATTAGGAAGTTTTATTAATATTATTAGTATCTCGTGATATCAATATTACTAGTATTACTATTAATATTATTAATATCGACGCATATTAATTAGTCAATCCATATTAATTACCATTAGATAAATTTTTGAAATATATAATTCAAATAAACAAACAAAAAGCTTTGGCGAATAGAGAGAGGATCAGAGCGGCCAAAGAAACAAGTGCCATCGTCGCCGTGTTTGCATCGATCGAAATGAGTACTAGCATTCCGAGAGAAGCGGGTGAAAAAAAATGACGGGAACACAGACGTCAGAGGATAAACTGAAGAAGGAAACATTGAAGTAAAAACCCTAGAAATATCAAAGGAGAATGATGAACCACATAAGCTATGGGTGGGAGTATTGAGTGGAAATCGGAACCCTGGAAATGGAATGTTAATCGAGATTATAGCATCGAAGATTGTCAGCAGAGAGATTGAAATTGAAATTTAAGACGATGACATTGAGACCAAGGTAAAATTTTGGGACTCCACTTTGATCATGTATGTGTTAGGAGAGGGTTTGGGGATGAATATTGTCAAACAAGTCATGATGAAGATGTGTAACTTTGTGAAGCTCCCAGACATGTTCTACAGTGATGAAGGATACTTCATATTGGAATTTCATTCATATGCTGATAGGGATGCGGTGCTTATGAAAGGCCCTTACACAATCAGGAATCTACTGATGCTGCTAAGAGAATGGAAACCTGATTTTGACTTGAAAAAGGACATGTTGAGAACACTTTCTATCTGGATCAAACTGCCTCAATTACCACTACATCGTTGGGGTGCGAGAAGCCTAAACAAGATAGGAAGTGCCTTGAGAAATCCTCTTGTCACAGACGAATGCACATCAAACAAGTACGAAATATCGTCTGTGAGAATTTTAGTGGAAGTTGACATCATCCAAGAACTTGCGAAGGAAATCATAATATAGGATGTAGAAGGCCGGAAAATGAAGCAAGTTGTCAAATACAAATGGAAGCCTACTTATTATGGAAAATTCCAAAAGCTTGGATATTAATGTGGCATTAAGAAAAAGTTAATGCAATAATGGATCCCAAAGACAATTCAACAAGAGGAGGAAAAAGAAACAAAGGAAGACAATCATGAAAATGTGAGTACTCTAAGCCCTGTTTCACATGTTACTCCTAGTGGCACGAAGAAGTCCAATGATGAATGGACAAAAGTAATCAAGGGTGGAAGAGATGGGGGAAATAACCTATGGTGGTAGAAAATGTGATTTATGGGAATGGATTTGAAACACTAGGGGTTGGATCGGCCATGGTGTTTCACGAAGATGTCCCATGATAATATCTTGGAATGTGAGAGAGTTGAATAAAGGGGATAAGATTAGAGAGATTGGATCCCGTATCTTAGATCTAAACCTTGAGATTGTGATTCTCATTAAAACTAGAGTAAAGAAAAATAAACTTGATAATGTCAGGAGCAAGTTGAACATGCGGGGAAGCTATGTTGACAATTATAACAACCACGACAATGGAAGTATTTGGGTCTTTTGGAAAGATAATAATGTGCAAATTCGAGTTGTGACTAGTATTGGCCAACTTATACATTATGGTATCTATGATATCAATGGTAAGTGGCTGAAGTGTATGACAATAATATATGGCATGAATCAACTTGAGATGAGGAAAGAATTATGGAAAGACATTGAAGGTAGAAATAGCAATCAATAGGGCCCATGGTTTCTTCTTGGAGACTTCAACAATGTGCTAAAGAGCCAAGACATAATTGGTGGCAGTATGTTGAAGCAACTTGGAAAAATAGTCAAACAATGATGTCGCCATGGAATGTTATTTATCCCAAGGAAGGGAAAGGAAAACATCAAGTAAACCTGAGAAAGTAAATCATCAAGGTCTCACAACCAAGAGAAACGGTACGGGAGTCTGTTATACCCCAATTTTTGCCCCTAATACCCCTTATCACATCATATACATATCATACATATCATTGATACCATGGTTACGGGATCAAAAAGCTCGTGGCATTTGGATTTTCCCTATGAATTGAGATTACTATCTTTCTCGGATTGATTCAACAGGTTCATTCATCATTCTTGGATTGTGGAACTAGGATTTTGGATCACAAGCAGCATGAGCACCTTCCTTGGAAAAATTCCTCAAGATACAAAGTTATCTTCATCAAGATTCTTCAAAGAGCAATAATTAGGGTTTCTCCTAAGTGCTTTCTCCACTAGACATTATTTTTAAGAAGTCTAGAGGTTTGAATCAAGGATTTATTTCTTGTGATGTCATTTGTTAAATGGTTAAGGATTGATTGAAGATTTCATAGAATCAAGATGCTTCTTGGGGCTTAATATGTGAATCAAGGTAGGATTTCTTCTTGAATTTTGATTAAATTGAAGATTCGGATTAAGGTTTCGTTGGAGCTGATTTAAAGATTCGTCCAAGAAATGTCATTAAGTCTAGATTAATTCAAGAAAATTCGTATAATGGTTTGTATGGAATTAAAAGTTGATGATTCGAATATCATTCAATATCAATGAGAATTTAAGCATGTTTTATGAGAATTACTTTAAAGGAGAATTACTTGAAATTTAAGACATTTCTCATTCATTCCAATTCCATTCAAATTCCTTTCAAGTGACTATTTTGGCACAATTTGCCAAGTGGATTTACATTTTAAAGATGGAAGATTTGTTCACTTGAAACAAGTAGCAAGACTTATTCAAGGCTTAATTCAAGTATCATTCAAGTATTGATCAAAACCCTTCATCTTCCAAATTCACTACCAAATTGTCAAAGACATGATCTTGTGTAAGCTCCAAGCAATTCATCATCCATTATTCAATATGTCGAGTTTCATGGTTTATTCTATATTGCAAAATCAAAGAAAATGTTTCGAAGTTCAAAAGTGCAAATTAGAGGAAGTTTTGTTCATTAATATCCTCAAGTCATTGCAAGTTGAAATGCTAAAAAAGAAGGAATTGCAAGATAAAGTTCAAATATCATTCAAGATTACATTCAAGACATAATTGCAAATGTTGCAAGAAATTCCAAGCAATACAAAAAAATGATATCCTAATTGCATGTCCACGCCTCAATCATCTTTGTACTTGACCTTATTTTGGAAACTATCCATTCACTAGCAACAAGAATAGACACTGAAGCTGGGAAGCCCTGCGTATCAGAAAGCTAACAGTCCCAATTAACGAGAAAGTTAGATCACCTGCACAGTTCAAACACAAAACAGGCATGAATAAACTGAAATTTTGACCCGATTCATGAATTAACTTCAACTAGATGCCAAATGGACTTAAACCATGTTCAAAATTTAGAAGAATGTTTATACAATGTAAAGGATATAAAGAACTCAAGCTCTTACAGTAGACACGGTTCACTATAGATCAAAGCACGCATACATTCTAATTGTATATGTTTGTCACCCACAAAGCCATGCGAGTACATAATTTATTCAAAAAAAATCAGCCTTGCCCTGTTTCAAAAGCATTGTAATTTGTCCGAAAACTTGCATAAGAAAATTAGGAAGTTAAAAAAAACTGAATTCCAGCTCAGCAAGCATAACAAAATGTTAGATGAGACAACTTTCAATCTCAACCCTTTTCTTTCCTAATAGAAATCCCATTGGTAGTTATTAACAGAGCTAACAGAAGTCAACAATCCCAACTAACAACTAACAGATTTTCTAACATAATCACTAGCTAAAACTAACTCTCTAACCTCTCATCTGCATCGTTTACTTTTCTAATATAAAACCAGATCTAATCCCCAGGGATAGTTCTGTTGTAACTAACTTTTCAACCTTCCTCCAACTGTATAAATTTAAAGCTTCTACAATCTTGAACTGGGGACGATTCATTCACAATAAGAGACATAAAATTTCAACACTCACCTTTCAACTCTCTCTCTCTCTACAATCACTCTTGATTCTTCAAAAAATCATCTTCATCATCGCAAATTCTTCATCATTTAAAGAATCACCACTAAAATTCAGAAAGAGCTCTCTATTCTCTCTACTTCTAATATCTGGATTTTCTCTGCCATATTCTACTGCATCATCTTCATCTTCTACCCCAGTCATCTCCAAGCTTCTTCAAACAATAACACGCTCTTACAACAATATTGAATCCACGACCACATCAGTTTTCTTCTCTTCTCCTTCAACATAACGATGCAAATACGCAAATGTAGAAAGCAATAATTCACAGAAAAATGCAAGAGATTGAGTAGAAGAAGAATCGAGAACAAAGTCGTAACTGAATAGAAGAAGCGCCATACGTTTTCTTCGGTAGGTAACCATATTTTATTTCTTCTTCTTCATCTCTTTCTACTGCTTAAGTTTTGCATTCGAAGCCAGGACGATTTTCTTGAATAGAAGTATGAAACGGAAGTATGGCGATGTTGAACCCGCACGGAAGTGTGAAGAAGATAAAAATATTAAAGAAGAACGACGTTTCTAAAGCTTGAAGGTGATGTCTACGGTCATTCAAATAAAATCGCGAACGGATAAAGGCAAAGCGGCGATGGTGAGATAATTGTGAATGGACCAATTGGAGGCTGAGGCCGTCGCAACTGTGAACGGAGGGTGTGTTGTCAGAGAAGAAGAAGAAGCATCAGAAGCGAGAAAAGTGACAAGAAGACGTACCTATACGCTGAGACCTTCGCTGGAGCCTTTTCTTCTCTGTTACCTACATGAGGTAGGTACAAATTGGTTGTTGTTGCCTCATTGTTAATAGCATTGTAGAATGAGGCCTCGCGAATCTTTTTACCGAAGGTTTTGTAGCCGAATATTGTGTTAAAAGCATTCAATTTCATTTTACCCGAACATAACACTTACTATCGTGTTCGAAGTATGAGGCTTGTTGAGAAATTAGGGAAAACAGAGTTGAGGTGTGATGTTAGGGAATCGAGGCGAAGGTTATGATAATCTGGAATTTTATTTCTAAGCAACAGTGCAACATCGCTCCATTCAGTGAAATACTGCGGCCGAGAGAGAAGACAAGGATTTAGGCTCGTGAAATTCTAAAGGTTACAACACGGGAACCCTAAATTCGTTCTCACATGTCACCAATGTGTATTGTTGGGCTGGACCAAACCGAGTCGCACAGTTCCATAAGTCCATTGCACCTTTTTTAGAGAGTACTGAAGTTTGTGCACAAAAAGATTTCATCGGACTGAGTTTAGGCTTAATGCCTATTTCAGTTGCTTGTAGCATACTCTGTGATCCTGGCTTACACCCCCCTAACTTTTCTAATTTCTTATTTTGATTTAGTTTTTCTTTTGGTTTAGTTTTTCTTCTAACTTTCTTAATAAAAGAAAATTAGAAATGATAAATATATAAAAATAAATAAAAGAATTTTTCTAGAATTTTTATTTGATTTTAGAAATTAATTCATGATTTTTTCGATTACTTGAGACGTGTAATTCACTTTTGCTGTCGAGATTTGAGTCTTATGCAGGTTTAGTGTGTGATATACAGACATGCTTGAGTTTCCGATTGTGATTTATTTTCACATCGATGATGCCTCGTCACTTATTCTGAGCATTCAATCACTGACTATTTGTTTGTTGATGCTAGCTCGCGCAAAGTATTCTGAATTTCTTTGCTTTTGTTGTGCTTTTTGCGAACATTATTGTTCGTTTGGTATTATACTGCTTCCAGTTTATCTTTGCGCATTTTATTGCTTTCTAGATATCATGAGAAGTAGGAAATAAAGAGCGTGCGCTCGAAGTCACTATTTAAAGACTTGTAGCAGGCATTCCGTACTTGTTTGCTGATTATGCTTGTGTTTGATTTCATGGGTTGACGATCAATGATGTCACTCAATTATAATTGAGATAACGACTTCAATCTTTGCATGCTCCCCTTTAGATTTTCATTTTCCTTTGTTTATGATCGATGATGTCACTCAATTAGAATTGAGATAACGACTTCGATCTTTGCATGCTCCCCTTATGATTTTCATTTTCCTTTGTTGATGATCAATGATGTCACTCAATTAGGATTGAGATAACGACTTCAATCTTTACCATGTCCCCTCAGGATCACTTGATTATGGTAGCTTTCGAGCTAGACATTAGGATGAATACCTATGCATGCTAACCTAGGGTAGAGATTTCCCTTTTCATCCTTGACATAGGGCCATCATTGTATGATAATACTAGGTTAGAGATAGGTTAGTCTCCCTTAGGTGTTTTTCTTCCCATTTTGCATAATTATATTTAAAATAAAAACTTCATTTTTCTTGGCAAATGTATAAAACATGCTAAACACACAAAAATCCTTTCCATGGTAAAAAACACAAACTAATTCATTTCTTTTCGCCATTCGGGTTTTCTCTTCTAAGAACGTGTTGATTCCTTTCCACTACAGTGCGTGAGTCTCCAATGGTCGAGTGGCAGCGTAATGATTGAATTTAACATTTTTCATTTAACAAATACAAACAAACAAAAATTTGTGAGTCGAACTACGACGCTCTGATTCCTTAAAAGGGATCATAGGCATCTGGTCGTGGCGCTCAGCCGAGTGAAAATTTGTAAATATTTCCTTCTTTTACCCGTGTTTTCTTTACATGCATTCCCTCTTAGCATTTTTATTTTAGCTCTTAAGAATTAGATTCAACAAACTCTTTGATTAGAACAACAAGAGTGATCTCGTAGAGTACTACAGACGTGAGGGGTGCTAATACCTTCCCCTCGTGTAATCAACTCCCATACCCGATCTCTCGATTGCAATAACTTGATTTCTCCCTTTAGGTTTTTCTTCGATGATTTTTGTGATACGGTGGGAGAACTGACTTGAGGTTTTGCGTTTGTATTCGCAAATGTTGCGGTTAGCAAGAGTCGCCACCGACTTTTTATTTTATCCTAAGGAAAGGTTAAAAAGCACAGCAAAAACCTTTTGAGATGTTTTCTTGGGTTCGGGGAGTAGATTATAGAAAGGGAAGGTATTAGCACCCTTTCTATCCATGGTTATCCATGGGCTCTTAGTTACTTTCTTAGATCACTTGCCTTTTGTTTTCAATTGTTTTAAATGGTGCTTGAGTGTGTGGGTTTGAAAATGTTTTTGAAAAGAGGCCAATGTGGTGGCAACCTTTGTAATAATCCATGTGGGGATGTATACAAAGATGTATGTCTTTTGAAAAAGTTTTCATTTGTTTTTGAAAGTTGTTTTGAAAGTGTAG